CTCTCAGCAGGCGGAGTGCCCAGTGTGACCCCAAGTCAAGAGGGGCTCTGCTCCGGCCTGCTTCCTGTAGCATCTGTCCCCAGCAAGGACGAGCGGAGGAGGTCCAGCTGCAAGGCTGAAGTGGAAAGCCGTAGAGGTGTAAGCAATGGGCTCTGCTTCCAATAGCTGCAGCTGTCTAGCGGCTGAGCTATTTTTAAACCCCTTTTCAGACCCCTCCGCCGCCGCCGCCACCCCCGTGCTCGCAATGGATCTATTTTCTTAACTGCCAAGAGATAATGCTTAAAAATGGATAGCTTGAAAATATTCCGCGGCGCTCGTAAAAAAAAAAAAAAATGACCGAAATAGATAGCATATATAAGACGGCCTTTGTGTGGAGCAGCAGAGGACAGTGTGGCGAAGTCTCTCAGACCCCAGGGCAGCGCAGCCGCTGGATCCGTAGCTGACAAGCGTGGCTTTGTGTCTTGATGTGTGCTGTGCCCAGAAAAGGCAAGAAAACCAGTCATTGTGGAGGACATCAGAGACCTGCCATTTAAAGTGGCCATCCATCCCGGGCAAACAGGAGACCCCAAAATAACTTCCAAAGAAGGGCCCTTGACTTGGACACTGCCTTATCTAGGGAGCCTGTCCAAACCGTCTAACATGTCTTTGTCCCTTCCCTGAACTCTGGAACGTTTTCTGCCCCACTGGGTAGAACGGCTGCTCAAGCAGTCGTGTGTTACAGACGGAGGAATCATCCTCACTTCCCACTACCAGTCAACTCCTACCAGTTTTATCTTCTAAATCTAAATACTTTTCAAGTCTTAGCCTCTTTGCACCTTCCTCCCCATCCCCCAGCAGCTGCCCTGATTCAGCAGTGCTTGCAAACAAAAACAAAAAAACCCTCTGGGTTTTTGCAAGAGCATCCAATCTAACCTTTTCATGTGTTCATGTAGGGTGGGCTGGAGGGTTGAGGGTGTGTATCTTTGTGTATGTGCAGTGCACATGTACATGGGGTGCATGTATCTCTAGGTGTGCCTGCGTGTGGAGATCAGAGGACAGCTTCAGATGCCATTCCTCAGGGACCATCCACCCTGTTTATTTATTTAGACAAGGTCCACCGCTGGCCTGGAACTCACAAAGTAAGCTAAATTGTCTGTCCTGCCACCCAGGGGTCTCCGCCTTCTCAGAGCTGGGACAAGTGCAAGCCACCATGCCCAGCTTTGCGTGTGTGTGTGTGTGTGTGTGTGTGTGTGTGTGTGTGTGTGTGTGTGTGTGAATTCTAAGGATTGAACTCAAGTCTTTGTGCCTTTAAGGCAAGCACTTTTCTGACAGCTATCCCCCACCCCAACCCTCCAATCTAATCTTGCTGTACCTGTTTAGTTGATGTTGTTGTGGCTGTTGTTGTTGTTGCTGTGGTTGTTGTTGTTGTTGTTGTTGCTATTGTTGTTGCTGTGGTTGTTGTTGTTGCTGTTGTTGTTTTAACCTCCTTCACCATTTGATGTAGGGATTCTTTAGAAATTAAATGTCATGTCAGCTCCTGCTTAGACTTTTTTGATGTTACTTAGCTGCCCTCAGAAAACCGGTGAAGCCCTTCCGTGTGGTACACACAGAGCCCATCCCATCACCTGACATCTTCTTCAGCCTCAGCCCTTCTTTAACCCACCCCGTCTCTCTATTCTAGCAGTATCGAGCCACTCATAATTTCTCCCCGGTGTTGTTATTTCTCCCAGGCTTTATTTATGCCGGCTACCCTGTTCGGAATTCCTATCACCTCTATTTCTGTGCTTATTTTACATTGCATTCATTCAATTATTGGGGCGACACCGTATACAAGCGATAATCAGAAAACAATTTGCCAGAATTGGTTCTCTCTTTCCACCATACGGGTCCTGGGGATCGGTCTCGGGCAATCAGGCTTGGTGGCAAGTGCCTTTACCTAATGTGCCATCTCAGCAACCTCGTAACCTCTGTTTTCAAGAGGAAATATTTTAACGACAGATGGAACAAATATAGCAAAATGTATAGGTCCTTGGTAGGCAGCGTGATCCATTTTTACCAAATTGATAGATTCAAGTAACCGCCATATAAATCAAGAGTTAGATTATTACTGACCCCCCAGGAGTCTTCTTCCCAGACCCCACCCCAAGAAACAGCAAATAGTCTACTATCATTACAGTTTGGTAAGTCTGCCAAATTTTGAAGGTTAAGTGGAATCACACAGTGCACACCTTTTTATCTTTATTCATTTAGTGTTATTTTGTGAGATTCATCTGTATTGATGCACACTGAGCCAATTCCTTTGATTTTTCTTGTAAAACAGTTCACTATACAAATACAGTTTGTTTATCCAACCTAGTGTTAATTTGTGGGTTGACTCTTTTCTTTAAAATGTCACTCATTTTAAACATGCAGTTTTATTATTCCCTGGCTTGCGTTACTTCTATAAAAGACTTATCATTTCTTTAAACTCAGGGCTTTTAAAGCTCTCAATAATCCCTGTGCAAAGAGATTGAGCTTGACATTACTCAGAAAGCCTCAGCTGCACAGGCCCTGAGTCAGCAGACATATTCCTAGGTTTCCCACGAAGATACACATCCGTGCTCTGTGCGTCCCGGCAATTCTTTCCTGTCCTTGTCCGTCTTTCCTCTAAATCTGAACTTTTCCTACGGTTATCAGCCATCTGACGTCATATCTGCAAATAACACGCATATTCAGTTCTTGATTCAGTTACTAGATTTTCAGTTGGATATTTTCTGTTTGTCTCATTTTTTCTCTCTATAGAGTCAGTTCTCTGTAAAATTCTTCACTGGGCCATCACTCATCACTCTCTTGAGGGTTCACTCGATTGTTTGGAAGACTAGGTTTGTTAATCTTCAAGTCCAGGTCACTGGTGGGTCTGTTCCTGGAGTCTGACTCTTTCGAACTGTGCTTTTCTTCCTTGGGGACGTCAGCTAAGGTTTTGTTTAAGTCCGTCGTTTCCTTTAAAAGTTGTAGGGAATCTCTATGGTACTATGTCTCTAGAGAGGATTTCCCGTTCTCTGTTAATCTGCTCAGCACTGAGGTGAAGGGGGCTGGAGGCAGTGTGTTTCTGGAAGGCCTGCTGGCTGGTCAGTTGCTTTTCCTCCTCATTCACCCATGTTCACTGGCCTCCCTGAAAGTGTGCTCTAAAATTGGGGGCCTTTCCTTTCATGCAGAGTTTGAATCCCCCAGTACATGAGGACTGTCAGAATTTTCACTTAGCTTCTTAGACTTTCGATGGCTGTCTTCCTGTGGACTTCTCAGACACTTCCTTATTAGTGACAAATGGCTTCAGGGAAATGCGATATAAAATATCTGATTCACAGCCGGGCGGTGGTGGCGCACGCCTTTAATCCCAGCACTCGGGAGGCAGAGGCAGGCGGATCTCTGTGAGTTCAAGGCCAGCCTGGTCTACAAAGCGAGTTCCAGGAAAGGCACAAAACTATACAGAGAAACCCTGTCTCAAAAAAAAAAAAAAAAAAAAAATCTGATTCACTTCTCTATTTTTCCCTCTTGTTTCCTGTTGGCCTCATAAGTGCTGGTTACCTTAGCTTTTCTCTAATCCCTTAAGAAGCTAGTTTTGTTTTTAGCTAGTGAGTTAAGCTAGTTATTTAGTTTGTGGTCTAGCTTTTCTAGTTATTCTTAATAGGAAAGTCAGTACTTTTATAAGCAATTATGTAAAAGATAGACAGCCATCCCCCTTTATCCGTTTTTTGACTAGCAACGTTCTATTCACCCATTAGAATTAGATGCCTCTTCTCCCTTTAATATCATGCAGCTCCATCCTTCTATCTTGGTTCCTCTCCAATCCCAGAACACCTTTGCATACTTCCCATACAGCTGGTAAGTTACTGTTTATAATCACACACACACACACACACACACACACACACACACTCACACACACACTCACACACATACACACACTTGAATATACACACAACCCCTAAACACTCACACGTGTGAACACACATACAAACTAAGCTATGAAGATCTTGGAGCCTGGGACTAGGGTTGTTCATTTCAGGGATTTCATAGCCTGCCACAACACTCTGGCTAAATCAACACATGCGTTAATGGGAACTCAATTTGCTTCACGTGGCTGCTCAGAAAAGTACAAAGCACCCAGCAAACCCTCAAGAGATGTTTCCATCCTGACCCTAGAAAGTGACCACCGGGATTTGCAAACCCACTGTCACGGTACTTCCAGTCTCTTAGGAGTTCTCCCAAAGACCTTAAGAACAAGGCCGCTTAAACTCGGGTGGTGTGCCCTGCACCTGCCGGGACACCACCTTAAGGTGTGACCGTGATTTATCTAGTCATGTGTTTTTTCATCTGCAGTCTTTCAGAAGACTGGATCTGAAACACGCCTTCCTGGAATGAGGTGTGTCTACCCTCATGGTGGGACACAGACATTGAGGTGCAGAGCCTTGGTGTGTGACCCTGGGAAAGTTACTAAACCTCCTTGCGTTGGTAAGGAATAACATTCATAAAGTCGTAAGGCAGGACCGGGGAGCTAGCTCAGTCAGGGAAGTACTTGCCACCCAGATGAGAATCTGAGTTTGATCCCCAGGACCCACATTTAAAAAGCAGAGGATGGCAGAATGCTTCTGTAATCCCAGTGCCGAGGAAGTAGAAATAGACGGCTGCCTGGAACTCACTGGCTAGCCAATGGACACAGCGAAGTCCAGGCCAGCAAGAGACCCTGCCTCAAGACCATGAAGGGTGACTTCTGAGGAATGATACCTCTAGTTCCCACACACATATGCACACATGTGCACCTACACAAACTCCTGCACCTACACAAACATGAACCCAAATGTACAGACACAAACACACACACAGACTGTCTCACACATGTTAAGTATGCCAAGTCATAAGGTGGTAGTTAGTAACCCTTGGTGTTCTGAGAAGATTGAGTGAGATACAATTACGCAACCTGTAAGAGTCCGTGTTGGGACCAGGATGATGTGGTATCACTGTGATGAATTCATCTTCTTTAGGGAGAAGCAGATGCACCCTGAGCTTCTTAGGAACTACCAAATGGCATGCTGAGCACTACAAGATGAACATCCAACCTTGGGCTGTCAGCTCCTTCAGCTTGAAGAGATGCCTCCAGCTGGAACCCGCAGTCAGAATGACTCACATGTGAGAACTGAACCTTTCCCTTGGTTCCTGAAACCTACAAACCAGAAACCCAGCAGAACCGGGCCTCTCCCACCGCAGACATGGGCCAGACACATCCGAAGAGGAAAAAAAAAAAAAAAGGTCCAAGTCATGCTGGTGATCTCTGCCCTGGGTCTGGAGTCTCCTTGCTGGGGACTAAGACAGGGTCTTAGGATGTCTTAGAGACAGATACTGTGAGACTGAGCACTCCTGTGACCTGGTCTTTTAGTGGGGACCCCAGGGACTTGGGGGTGAAGTTCCCAAGGGTTCTTAGGCTCCACAAACTAAACAGACTATAACAAGAATGCAGAGCAGTCAGGGGAAACCTGAAGTATGCAAGGTGTGGCAGACCGGCGTCACCTCAGAACAAGTGCCCTCGCCCAGGTGCATGCTACAGAGCTGCAGAGGTGCCAGCTGCATGTGGAGTTGGGGAACACCCAACACTGGCAACTAGCCCTCAGCAAGTATGGAGAGGACCGGGCACACTGAGGTTCCATCCAGAAGCCGAGAGCTAGTTTGAAATCCAGTAACAGGTTCAGAGCTAGAACTGAGCAGCTTGCTGCCATGTCAGTGGATAGGCTATCCCCAAGCGCTTGTCAGGATGCAGATGACCAAGCCCCACCCCCAGGAAGTCTGAGTATGGCCATCTAGATGGACCCTAAAATTCTGTGTTGTTATCTAGGCCTGACAATTCCTTGTAGGAATGTCCTGGACTGCCAAGGATTGATAAGCAGTGAGAAGGAAAACAAAAAAAGACAAAACCAAACACTATGCATTCTTATTTGTCAGGCACACCTGCATGAGTTTTTAAAAAGGTACCCTCCCTGGAGCAGATTAATTTGATAAGAATATCCATTTCTCCAGTGAAGTCTGAGTCCTGGGGCCCAGAGTAGAGTGGGTTTCAGTCCCTACTGTTGTCTTGGTTTGGGGATCTTGAGGAATCAGAGACACACGACGAGCAGATTGCACCTTTTCATCCCCTTAGTCACTGATAGTGGCCCACACAGGAGCCAGGGAATCTAGCGGGGATGCTGATTTGTAAGGAGGACCCCAGAGGTGAGAGCTCATGTTCCAGAGCCAGTTAGTATAGAGCTGTGGTGGCCTCTCTTCTAGTCACTGGTCACATGACCAGTCATGAATTTCCAAAGTCCTCACCATCCCCAGCAGCTTAAGCCAGAAAACAGAGCTGTGTTACTACGTGCCAGAGAGTCACGATCAAAGCCAGACCAGCAGCCCACCACTTGTCAGGGGCTTTGGTAAACACTAGTGGCCTCCAGTGACCACAAGAAGATGACCACTCTCTCTCCCCTTCATGGCCCTTACTATTTGGGAGGAATGTTCTCTAATGAAAGCAACTCCAAGATTACATTCTCCCTTGCACAAACATAATTAGCAGATAGGCACAAACCGCAGCTGCTCCTCCCAGTTTGGAGATGTCCCTGCTGTCCATCTTTTGGCATTTTCCTGTGAGCCTTGCCAGAAAGTTCTGTCCAGACACATAAGGCTTTATTCAGGCAGACTAGAAACAGTAAAAGGACAGCCAGAGTCCAGGAGGCTTAGATGACCGCTTACACATAACTATGTGAAAGCAAGGCCAAGCTACTGATACGGCAGTGGGGCTTCATTCCTCTTTAATAATAATGGAATTAAGTTGCTCGGGGCCATGTAATTCAATCCATTTGGGCTGCTGTCAGGAGTACCGAGGCTAAAAGGCAAATATGCACCGTCCCCAGCTCTAGAGGCTGGGAATCCAAGGTTAGGTCTTAGGTCTTAGTACATGAGAACACATACCTTCCCAGCCCACAGATAGTCTCTCCCGCTGTCCTCACATGGCAAAGGGGAGCTCTCTGGAGGGATTTTTGTTTGTATGATGATAGCACTGTAGTAGTTATTTTAATCATTATCATAGCAGGAAGCAACCTAAGGGGTGGAGAGATGGTTCTGTGGTTAAGGGTGCTGACTGATCTTTCAGAGGACTGGAGTTTAGTTCCCGCTATGTATTCACAACCATCCACTCCAGGGAATCTGATGCCCTCTTCTGGCCTCTATGGGTACCTACACACACACACACACACACACACACACACACACACACACACACGCACACACAAGCACACGCACACATGCATGCACTACATAAATACACACACACTACATAAATAAATATTTTTTAAATAATTTATTTAACTTTATTTTATGTGCATTGGTAATAAGGTGTCAGATCCCCTGGAACCAGAGTTACAAACAGTTGCGAGCTGCCATGTGGGTTCTGGGAAATTGAACCCAGATCCTCTGGAAGAGAAGCCAGTGCTCTTAACTGCTGAGCCATCTCTCCAGTCCCAATATTTTTTTTTTTTTAATGAAGCAACTTAAAGAAGGAAGGATTGATTTTGGCTAACAGATGGGGAGAACATAGTCTACCATGGCAGGAAGGTGTGGTGTGGGCAACTCTGGCAGCAGGACTATGTGGCAGCTTGTTCACATCTTAGCAGACCACAGAGCAGAGAGAGCTTGATCTGGAACCACAGCTGGGCTGTAACCCGTGGGGCCCACCCTCAGCGACTAACTTGCTCCAGCAGGTTACCTACCTCCCTAACGTTCCACCACCTCCTAAAACAGCTCCACCTGCCAGTGGCTAGCTGTACAAACACATGCACTGAGAGGGGGCATTTTATAGTCACACCACAAGAGACGCTAACTCCTTCATGAACCCTCTCATTACCACTTCGCACTCAAAGACTTCATTTCCTAATTCCCTACAGTGGGAGCTAGGGTTTTACCATGTGATTTTGGGGGAAACACAAATATCTAAAGATCTCTAGCAAAATGTTAGATGAGGGTGGTCTGGTCTGAATCATTGCCGAGAGACTTTGATGTTTTCCCGCTGCAGACGGCACTGGAAACTTCTGGTAGAGCCGTCGAGGCTGGTGAGATGGCTCACCGCGTAAAAGAACTTTCTGCACCATGCCAACAACCTGGTCCCCAGAAGTCACATAAGAAAAAGCCGAACGCAGTGGCACATATTAGTAATCCTGCCACTCTCGTGGGGAGATGGGGGCGGAGAAAGGAGACTCACTCCGAAGCTTGTGGTCCAGCGTATCAGTTTTCTTTTGCTGTGATAAAACATCATAGCCAGAAATGACTCATAGAAGAAAGAGTTTATTTTGGCTTGAGTCCATCGTGGTAACATAGGCATGGCAGTATGACGCTGAGAGATCACATCTCAACCAGTCACAGAAAGCAGAGAGAGCCATAAGTGGAGTAAGGCTACACACTCTCAAAGCCCACCCCCCGGTGACATTCTCTCTCCAGTAAGGCTATACTTCCTAAAGGTTCCATGATGTCCCCAGACAGAAGCACCCACTGGGGACCAAATCTTCAAATATATAGCCTCTGAGGGGCAGTTCTCATTCAAACCGTCAGAAGCAGCTAGCTTGGCATTTGCAGAGGGACAGAAACAAGAGCTCCCTGCCTCAGGCAAGGTGCAAGGAGAGGCCTGAGTTCCAAGAGTTGTCCTCTGACCTTCACATAAACGCTGTGGGGCACACACATCCTCTCTCTCTCTCTCTCTCTCTCTCTCTCTCTCTCTCTCTCTCTCTCTCCCATTTTTGGATCAGCTATAAGCTCTCAGCTATTGCTCTGACTCTACACCTGTCTGCCTGCTGCCATGCTCCCCGCCTGTCCTGGACTCACCCTCTGAAACTGTAGGCCCCCAATAAACTCTTTCTTCCATATGACTGACGCCTTGGTCATGGTGTCTCTTCACGGCAATGTAACAGTAACTAAGATAACTCCATATCTGGCTAATTATCCTTAAAAAGACTATTGGATTGCAGTTCCCACCTCTTTGCATCTTTACCTACCAAATGCGAGTAGTATATTCCTTCTCTCCATTTACAACAACCAAAAATAGCTCTAGGTATTGTCAAATATCCCCTTAAGGCAGGGGTGACAGGCAAAATTGCCTCCAGTTGAGAACCATTCTTATAAAACTGTGCTCTTTTTGTGGGCTCCTTCATTTCTAGTTGGTGAACAAAAGCATTACACATTCTATTTGCCCTACTTTGTTTTCTGTTGTGGGATAAAACACTGGCTAAAAGCAACTTCTGGAGGAAAAGGTTTATTTATCTTAGCCTCCCGCATCATAGTCTGTCATCGAGGGAAGTCTGGGCAGGAACTCAAGGCAGGAACATGGAGGCAGGAACTGAAACAGAGACCATGGAGAAATCCTGCCTACCAGCTTGCTCTCTGTGGCTTGCTCAGCCTGCTTTATTATAGCACCCAGAATGACATGCCCAGGGGAGACCCACAGTGGCATTCCACCCACCGTGGGCTAGACCCTCCCAAATCAACCATTAACTGAGAAAAGGTGGTCTCCCTTCCCAGGCTACCCTAGTTTGTACCAAGTTGATGAAACTAACCTGCATACCATTCCATGCTTAAAAAGTCAAGTTCTGTGGAGCTCAAAGATAAAAGAACTTGCTGTGTACAGCTGGTGACCTGAGTTTGAGCCCGAGAATCCACATAACGAGAGAAAAGCAACTCCACAACTGTGGCATGTGCATGCCCATCCTGAATCATTCATGTGCACTCACATGTACATACACACACACACACACACACACACACACACACACACACACACACACACACTAAATAAGTCTAATCCTGGTAAGCAATCCATACAACCTTTTTGTAACTTGAAAGTTCTTCATATCTAAACTGTTGTGCCTTCCTCATTGCCTAGACAGTTATGTTGGCCATGGCCATAAAATTTACAAACTGTGAAGATATGCCATCATGAGTTAGGGACCCTTTGCACTCCAAGTTTCCAGGGGGTCAAAGGGAGCTGATGCTTTGAATGACGTCACTTCCTCACCTGCCACCTTCACTTTGCTTCTGGTTTGCTCCACTTCCTGATTCTTCTTATCCTAAATGAATCACGCTCAAAGCCAGCCCTCACAGTTAACTTAGAGGAAACACAGACAGAGATATTTCTTTTTACCCATAAGCCCACGAGGGAAATGTGACCAGTGTGCATCATACTCATGGGACTGGACCACAAAGCCAACCCAAGAAGATGTGGTTTAGTGTTAAGTCAGTGGAAATGTCCATATGAGCTCGGGGTTTTAACCACCTCTCCATTTGCTTTCAGGAACTAAGTCAGGCAGGAGCCAGAAAAGGGGTAAACAGCAGCTCAGAAAAAGCAGTCCAGAGGAAGAAGATTCTGGGGCCAGACAAAAGAACTTAATTATTTAAAGTGTAGACTGAAACCCATGCTGAGAGAAGAAAACCATGCTTGGGATCAAGGGCCTGGGGGGCACAAACTTTGGGAGCTGAGGACACCCCCACACCTGAGCCCAGACTAAGAACCCTGATTAGTATCCAGCAGACCCAGTCTCCTCACGCCAAGGTCAACGCTGTTCCTGAAAGGCCCATTTGTTTTCTCTCCTGTGTGGCTTTGTGGAGGTGTATTAGCACTCTCATGTCTGATTTCCCTCAGTACATTAAATTCAAGACACTGAGAGCCGAGACCTGGAGGTCTTCATGGTGCTTGGCTCAGGCCTCCGGGGCACACAATTTGGTGACGGAATGACTGACTGAGCGCTGTTCTTCCTGTCTCCATGTTTCTGAGGTATATGTGAAGCTTCAGTCAGAGCCTCACAGATGCTGCCTAGGCATCTATAATGGATGGACAACGATAAATGGACTCTGGATGGTCTGTGTCAGAGCACACCGTGAATAGATGCTCCATCTCGCATGGACACCTTGGGCAGGGGTGATTTCTCTTAGAAGGAACCTGGAACATCTTGGTAACCAGATCCACTGAACCCTTTGGGAAATTCTGGAACAGGGAATGACACCTCTACACAGCTCGGAGACAAAGACAATGCACTGTCGCTCTCCTCATATGATGCCTTTAACACAGTGGTTGCTTCAGAGAGCTCATGTGATCAGAAGAGTACATCCTCAGGACACACGGCAGGGCATGGTGCAGTGAAGAGAAAGAGCGAGCTTTAGGTTTTATGCAATGAGCCGGACTTTGGGCTGAGACTCAACTCCTTGCCTCTGTCTGCAGGGCAGGCTCCTAGACGCACACCTCATCTACCTCGTCATCCTCAGACCTATACAAGCATTCCTGGTGGGAAAGAACAGACAGTGGGGAATGACTATATAATAGGCAGTCTTTCGTGAAAGCCCTGGGGGATCTTGGGAAGTCAGAACCATGGCTTTCATTCTCAACTACATTCATGGAAAAGCAGATAAGAAGTTTAAGTTATCAATACTCGGTCAAGTATGACCACGAAGACAGTTAAGCACCTGCTTTGTTATCTTCAGAGAAGATGGGATCATAGAAGGATGTGCCCAGCACGGAACTGGCACAAAACAGTAAGTGCTTGGGATGGCTAATTTTGGCTGTGAACTTGATTAGATCTGGAATCAGGGAAGAGGCAAGCTGCCGGGCACACGGGTGATGATTTTCTTGATCACATTCACTGAAGTGGAGAGACCTGCCCTAACTGTGGGCAGCACCTTGCCTTGGCAGCCAGACACCAGGTAGTCAGAGACAAAAGCTTTTATCTTTCTGTCTGCCCGACTTTGCATCTTGCTGGCAAGTTCATCTTATGTACGAATTGGTCTACATCATTGCTGCTGCTGCTCTGTTCCTTCGCTGAAGTCAGAACCCAGCTCTAACAGCTTCTAACGAAGGCCGAAGATCGGTGACTCTCCAGGAATCCTCTAGGCTTTCAGTACTGCCGAGACATCCAGACACATGAACTGAGCAGCCACCCAGGTTCTCAGCCTCACTAGTATGAAGACTGTTAGACTATCCAGCTCATTTTATTGTGTAATCCAATCTAATAAATCCTTTCTAATATAGCTTTATTCTATCAGTTCTGTTCCTCTAGAGAACTCTGACTGAATGAATCAGTGAAGGAGCAAACACAAGCATGGCCTGAGTGGGGAAAGATCAGGGAGTTGTAGACTGCACATCACATAATATCTAGGTCTAATAAATGATTGACAGCCAGGCTGGGGACTACTAAGTTGTCCAGGTCACCATTTTTTTTGTGTGTGTGTGTGTGTGGATCTGGAGAAGGTGGAGAAGGAAGCTGACTCGATGCATACTCACAGGACAACAGGGGAATTCATTTCTCATGTTCCTGTTGAAGTTAACTCCTAACATATGCTCTTGCAAGCCTGAAAAAATACACAGAACTTTCATCTGAACAATTGTGTCAAAACAGCCATCAGAGAGACAAAACAATCAGTAAATGTCTACATCTGAAGCCTTGTGGCATCAGTATGACAATCCTGGACAAACCCAGCTGGCAGGTTTGATCATTAGAGGATCTAGGAGGAGGTTTTGAGGCTGGGACCTTGGGGATCTGGGTGACGATGACAACTCAGGACTTGACCCAGGTGGTCAACAAGAACATCTAAGAACACCACCCCAAAGAAAATCCAAGAAAGTGAATGTAGCGTGGCAGGAATGTCCTCACGTGGAAGAGAGATTAGGCTAAGTTTGCAGGATCTCTATTGAAGTAGAAGTTACGAGAAGACCGCTTTGAAGTCAAAGGAACTATTAAACTAATAGTACATTTTAAGGGACTACTGGGTACCAGGCACTGAGCTGGGTGTTGTAAACAATATGACCTAATTTTTTTTTTTTTTTTTTTTTGGTTTTTCGAGACAGGGTTTCTCTGTGTAGCTTTGCGCCTTTCCTGGGACTCACTTGGTAGCCCAGGCTGGCCTCGAACTCACAGAGATCCGCCTGGCTCTGCCTCCCGAGTGCTGGGATTAAAGGCGTGCGCCACCACCGCCCAGCTAATATGACCTAATTTTAAAGAACCCAGAAGACGACATTTTCAGACAAGGCAGCAAGGGTTCAGAGAGGCTGGATTGTGTTCTCAAGATAGGAAGCAAAGACAACATTGGAATTTCAGTTGATGCCGAAGACAAACTGGGCCCTGCTCAAGGCTGCCACTCACCATCACACATTTGTTCAAAGCACAAAGCCTCCTCAGGCGACTTTGCAGGAAGAAGCATGATGTTTTCTTCACACAAAGATCTTTCCTTTAACTGAACCATGCAGTGGGGGTACATGTACCCTAAAGGATTACCTTTTCTGTTTCTTCTTTCCAGTGCTGAGGATTGAACCTGTGGCCTTGCACACTGTAGGTAAGTGTTCTACCATGGAACTATATTCTTGGTCCCCTTGTCAAATCCTCCATGTAAATGATCTATGACTTTTGCTACATTGCTTTTGTGTTTCTGATAGAACAAATTCTAACAGTGGAGGAAGGTGAGAGTTCCTTCAGCACCAGAAGGAAGCGCTGGAGGTGGAGAATGCCCACTTGGCATCCTTATTGTCATCGGAAGATTCTCCAGCATTCCTCAATGGCTCCCTGTCTTTTCAAGGTCCTGCATGATGTGACCATTACTTTCCTCCATTTTTCTAGATGACCTAGGCCTTCTCTGTCTATCTCTCCTCCAGAGTCTGCATTCCTTCTCTACTTTATTTCTTCCACACACCCCCACCCAGTGAGTCTTACTGGCCCTTTAAGCCAGAGACCTAAATGTATTTCTTTAGAGTCACCTTTGTTAACCTGGCCCAGGTCGAATGTGCCATATCTGGTTTCGGTCCGGGTGGGCACTATAAAAACACAAGAGGCATTCTACTCTGGGGGGACGTCGTTGGGTTGCACACAAAGAAACAGAGGTAACTCAGGGATCGGCAGGATAGAGCTGCCAATCCTAGAACTAGGAAACAAAGGGACACGGGGCTGTTTCCAGAACGGGGGAGCTCCTGGCTCCTGCTGGTACATCTGAAGGATCGCTACAGGGCTGGGGGTTGGGATGGGAGCCCTAGGCTGCTCTAGGCAGAGTGGGTGCTCAGACATCCAAGAAGGGACACACCCGGGCGCAGGGAGGTCGGCAAGAACAAGAGAAGACAGAAAGTGTCTGCTCTCTCCGTCTGCTCTCCTCGTGTCCCCTGTCAGCGGAAGAACCTAACAAGACAGCTGTTGTCTAGAAATGGTGTCTTCAGAGTCCTACCCCACGGTGTTCCAGAGCCAAGGGTAGAACAGACGCTGTGCTATCTTTCTCTGTAGCCCATACTGCTGATGCAGAGTGTTAATCACAGCCATAACGCAATTTTTTGGGATGATTTAATATAGTCGTCTCTTTCCACCGCCAGGCACGTCCAAGCTGCAGGCTCCGGGCATCCCAGATGTAAGACTGTGGTCCAGCACATTTGAAGATGGCAATGTCCTCTGGGAACATCAAGTCTAAGCGCCGCTGAGTCAGACTGTAAGCTCAGCGATGGAAAGGCTGCACTGATTTGCCATACTGCCGTCCTCATGCACAGCCAACACATCTGGAGCATAGAGACTCCTCAATAGTTGTTCACTAGAATAGATTCACAAGAGAAGTAGTATTCGTGAGATAGTAGACCAAGAACTGAAATTTTAAAAATATGTATTTATTTTTACTTATGTACAGAGGGGCAGATGTCTGTGGATGACTGGCCTGGGTGCCGGATCGCTGGGAGCTGGAATTACAAGCATTTGTGAAGCCACCAGACTCCATCACTGGGGTGTGAACTCAGGTCTCCTGGAAGAGCAAGGGGGCATTCTTAATCTCTGAGCCACCTCTCCAGCCTCAAGTCCCGGGATTCTCCTGTAAGGGATTTGCTGACAAAGGCCTTTCAGGATGAAGGGAGCAAGAGAGGCCAGCCCAGGTGCCGGGAAGAGATGTGGGAAGATGGTTCGGAGCGGAAGTGTTTGCTCTGCAAACCTGAACTAAGTTCAGATAAAGGCTGGGCATGGCCAGTCTGTGATCCTAGCACTAGGCCGGGCAGAGACACAGGAGGAATCCTAGGGCATGCTGACTAGCCAGTCCAGGAAAAATAGCAAGTTCCAGGTTCCATGGGAGAACCTGTCTCAAAAAATAAAGTGAATAGTGATAGGGGAAAAAAAAATCTGACATTAACAGAGAGAGACAGAGACAGAGAGAGTGAGAGAGCGCAGTACTAGCAAGGGATGAGCTACAGACGGAGTTGTATCAGTCAAAGACTTACCTCAGCCTGGTCCTACAGGGCCCTTGGACCATGAACTATCCCCTAGGCCTGCTACCTCCTTCCGGGTCTTCTGTGCCTACTGGCTGCCATGGAGACACCTCAGGATGAAAGGAATTCATGCAACCTCCCTAGAGAGATGGTTCCACAGAAGAGATAGCTGTGGGAATCAGCAGTCACTACCCACAGCGTAGGAGATGGTACACCCACCTGTGCAGAGGATTCGTAGTGGGGCAAAACACATCCTCAGTGAAGGGCAGCATCCCTGCTGCGAGGGGAGCTGTGGCCGAGGCTCCCAGGTCTTTCTATGATCCTAGGTTTCTTCTGCTGCACTCATTTAAGGCAGAGTGGATTCCTTTCATCTTGTGGGGATCTTTATCAGACATGACAGAAGCTAAAATGTTAATTGCCCACATCCCTGAGTAGCCTGGGCCTTGGCATGTTTTTTGGAGCCAGGAGCAACCACAGGCATGGCCCCCGCACCCCAGGGGCCCCAAAATGGCAGATTCCATCCCCGCATGCTCTCCTCTGTGGAAGAAAGACAGGCCCCTCACTCCTTCCCTAGCTGCCCTGCAGGTGCCCACTCAGTGGTGGCCTGGCAGCCTGCACCGAAGAATGTCACTCTGGCCTGAGGCCCAGCCTCAGACAAAAGCCCTTTTGGAGCTAAGCCTACATCCTCTGGCTGACAGGACCCTCCCCCATCACCAACCAGGGAAGGCAGCTAAATTCATCTCCCTCCAACTGATGCTTCCCACAGGGCAAGGCCACCTCCCTTCTCAGGAAGCAAAAGGCGTCTGAACCCTTGCTGGCTGCCCTTGGCTCTCAGACAAGTAGCTGACTGTCCTCACCCAGAACTGGAGAGGATGAACAGACACCATTGCCCCAGACCAGGGCAGGGACACACACACACACACACACACACACACGTGTGCACAGGGAGCTGGCAAGAGGGGGACCCAAGCCCCGAGGACAAAGGACAAAGCCCGAGCCCCGGGCAAACCTTCACACCCAACCCTGCCTCTGCCTGGGAGTTAGGAGTCACACTGCCTGGAGTTTGATTTCTGCTTTGCTGTCAGGAGCAGCCAGCCACTGGCCAGGTCCTGCTCTGAAGCCCTCACCACTTTTCCATGAAGAGAATACCACGTGATTACCTGTTTCGAAGATGAAGAGTGAGGATCTGAGGTCTTCGTGGACCGCCTGGTACCCTGGCCCGCCACAAGCCGGTCTTCTAACAGACTCCCGGTCCCAACGCACAACTGAAGTCCTCAGCCCCTTAAACCTCCGATTTGCAAATGAACGGGTCTGCTAAACTCCTTCAGTTTTGTTTCCCGGGAAAACATTACTAGAATTCTCCCCCCCCCCCCCCCCCCCCCCCCCCCCCCCCCCCCCCCCCCCCCCCCCCCCCCCCCCCCCCCCCCGGCCTTAACACTGGTGCCCAAGAGACCTCCTCCAAGGTTGATGCTGAAACCAGCATCTCCCCGTAAACATGGCCTTTGTTGTTTGAGATGCTAACAATTACTGCGGCTCTCTTTGTTCAGTGTCTTTTGGCTGACTGTCAGCTCATGAGGAACTGTCTGTACTGAAGCCAATTTGAATTGATTTTGCAAGTGAAATTTCAAGGGACAATGTGCCAGGTGTCTCAGAGAGCTAGGGGTCTGGTGGAAGTCTCTGTCATCTGCTCACAAGAGCCCTAACTCCTGTGTGGATGGTGATAGACTTATTTTCACATTTGCTATTTCATTCCCTCTTCACAATGACGGCCTGAGGTTGGTCTTGATCTGCCCACTTTGCAATTATCCCATTCACAAGAAAGAAAAATAGGAGCTTAAGTGATGTCTGGAGGGCGGTATACGCAGCACCTGCCGCTCTGGCAGTGGGATCTTGCGCTTTTGTTTAGAAAGCTTTATTTCAGCAATTTACTGTTTACTGAGCATCTATTATGCTCAATGATCTCTTTTTGGGGTCCGGAAGTCAACTCACAACATTGATCTTTAGTAACATAGAAGATTCCTGCTTGGGAATTTTCCTGATGGTTATGAGTCATGAATAGCTTAAGACTTCTGAAGTATTACATGAAAGGAAATGTTAGAATTCCTAGCCACTCCCCCAGCTACATGACCACGTGTGTGCGGGCGCTGGCAAGATGCTTAGTCATGCTTAGTCATCCCAGGGCTTTACGTGTGCTGTGTGATCCGTGTGCTGCGTGATCCCGTAATTTGCACCCAGTGTGATCACAGCATGATTACATAATCTATGCACATGCATGGCATAGCTACTCTAAGCCCATATGCGTATGTGCAGGGGGGAACCTATAAAAGTGGGTTCCACCTATTCCTCCCCCTATCTTCCTGCATGGTCATTTCATAGGCCTATGTGTTGGGATTCTTGGCCACGCCTCCACTTACATGACCACACATGCGCAGTTCAGTAGCCAAGTAAGGGGCCTTACATCCTACGTAATCTGCGCACGCGTGGGTAGCTCTGTTTAAGCCCATATGCGCATGTGCAGGGGAATCCCTAAGAAGCAGGACACAGACCCCTGCCCTTGCTCCTCTTCTCCTTCTCTTCCCCACTCTCTTTCTGCACATGTCTTCCACAGGCCTGGTCACGCTATCTTCTGTCCCTCCCCTCTCCTTTCTAATAAAACTCTTGATAGTGAGTTTTTGTCATGCCTCATGACCTTTCCTCGCAGAGCAAAAGCACCGCATCAAAACCAACACTATGCACACCCCTTCTGTTCCCTTCCCTTAGTAAACTCTTACAGTGGTTTTGTTGTACCTCGTGGCTTTTCTCGCACAGTAAACAGCACCGCTTAATAAATAACAGGAGCGTCATTATTAGAGCCCTAGAAGTATGACATGACAGGAACACCATTATTACGGTTTATAAGTGCTCAGCTCCATGAACAGTTGTCCAGCCACAGTTCCTCACCTAGACCAAGAATTAGAGCCATGCCCTTTTCTGAATGGACACCTGCTGTGAGTGTAGGAAAGCAAGCTTGGAGCAAGGAGAGGGTGGGTGTGGTTTAGACACCTGCCTCTCCAACTATGAGGTGTCCACTATTTCGTGGACTCCCAACCCCCATACTCCTCACTATGACCTTATTTGGAAATAGGGTCATTGTGGATATAATCAAATTAAATAAAGTCATAGTGAATTTATATGGAGCCAAATCCAATAGCTAGTGTCTTTATGAGAGGAAGGGGGCTTGGTGTCACTGATCTTTGGGAAAGAAGGCCATTTGACACACAGAAGAGAGAATAGTGACACAATTGCAAGCCAAGGATGCCATAGGTCACCTAGGGTGACATGGAAAGGATTCTCCCTTTGGGCCATGCTGTGGGATGTTTTTGTCTACGCTGTGAACATATGTTATCCCCATTGGTTAATAAATAAGCTGCTTTGGCTCATGGCAAGGCAGCTTAGAGGCAGGTGGGAGAGAGACAGGAAAGAGAAAGGCAGAGTCTAGAAAGATGCCAACCTGCTGCCCAAGGAGCAACATGCCAACAGACCAGTAAAGCCACAGAACACGTGGCAAAACATAGATTAATAGAAATGGGTTAATTTAAGTTATAAGAGCTAGCTAGCAAGAAGCCTGCCATAGGCCATACAATTGGTAATTAATATTAAGCCTCTGAATGATTATTTTATAAGTAGCTGAGGGACTGTAAGGCCGGTTGGGACCAGAGAAACTTCCAGCTATAGGGCCAGAAGGAATTAATCCTGCTGACACCTTGATTCTGACTCCTGGGCTCCTCAACTATGAGATAATCACGTTTTGCTTTCAGCTACCCAGGCTGTGATTCCAGGAGGGATTATGTTGGGATCCTCCCGTGGCGTCTTGGTAGAAGGTAGAGGATGTTCCCAAGTGTGGTTCTAACTTAATTGTTTGGCAGCCTGCTTATTTTGGGTCATCTTTCTGACTTTCTGGGCCAAATGTCTTAGTCAGCGTTCCCTGAACAGAGAAGTTGTGAGCAGAACCTGGGGGCAGACCACAGGGAAGACAGGAAACAGGGACGAAGGCAGGGGGATGACTGAATAGTGTCTGTATCTATTTCTCTCTGCTAGTAATTTTTTTGAAAGCATTAATAACCTTTTTGCTAAAATTCCAATTCTCATTACATAAATAACTTGGGCTTGTTTTATAAAAATTAGGAAACACAAGAAAACAAATGAAATAAATAAAAGCAGTCTTCCTCCCACACCCAGACAGCCGCCATTCGTGTCTTGGTGTGCTCTTTGAGTGTGTAGACACGTTCTGAAGGGACATTAGCTTGAGCCTGTGGCTCTGGCAGGCCTTGCCCTTCTCCCCGACTCCTTCTACCTTGCTGAAAACTGTGAGATTCCATTCCTAAAGCTGGCCACTGAGGCCCATCCCCTTATTTGGCCACTTCTTCCTCCTGAGGCTGACTGTCAAGGTCCAGCTATGGAAGTATTGAAGTCCAGCAATCAAAAGTCCCCTTTGGCTCACCTAATTAACATGCCATATTAAAATTAAACACCTCATCCTAATACAGGATTTCCCCCTTTACCTTTATAAACCACCATTTCCCCATGTGCCACGCCTGTCTCCCCTCTATCCAGAGGCAGTCCTTTGTCCCTCCAGGACAAATACCCCTTCCTCCTTCCTCTTGTCCCCTTCCCCTTCTCCCTCATCCTCTATCTCCTCTACCACTGCATCCCAGCCCATCCCAACACAGACCTCCCCCTTTCCTCTTCTTAAGAATGACATCTGCAAGGTCATCTGCTGCTGTTTTCTGCCTGAGTCAGGAAGCAGCCACTTTAACTTTGCTTCCCCACTTTATAATAAAGGATCTCTGTGAAAACAGGTGGTTGGATGTGGTTTGTGCCTAATCCGGGTCTGGAAGGGATCCCCCATTGTGCTGGAGTCCCCTTCACTTTCTTTCTCAAAGAACAAAGTTCCGCCTTACCTGTGTACATGTTTTTCCTTTTGCTCTTCTCTGACAAGGACGGATTTTCAGGAACAGGTTTGAGACCCGTCTTGGTGTCTCCCCATACTCCACACTTCCACTTCGTGTTGCTCATCCCAGGGCAGTGGGCGCCCGAGTGTCCAACCAAGAGTCAGCGTTCTCTCCGGCTGAGTTCATCTGGAAGACCTGGAGTCTGGTACAAGCACCATAGGGGAGTGAAAGAGAATTTTTCAGAAGTTTGCTTAGTGTGGTTGATGCTCTCCTGAGTTGAATTCCTTACACTCCTCCCTTCAAGTCACAATTATCACACGTTAGTGCGAAGACCTTGTTTCAGTATGTTCCTGCACACCTCAGGAACCCACACCCTTTCTTCTCCCGAGTCACACCCCTCCCTGCCTGTGTGATCCATGTCATGGAGCACGGCGCTGGATGTTCCTGTTAATCCTCCAGACCCCTCTGTTTTTCTTTACTCAGTTCCGGATCCCAGGGAGCTTACCTGTAGGGCGTGTGTACATCATCGAAGTGCAAGCCGGCCCTCTGCCTTCTGACTGGGTTTGGCAACATCAGGCGATGCAGAGGTGGTAGAGAGAGAAGCAAGAGCACTGTCTCCCATGTTCCCTCACTGGTGGGGAGGAAGTCCTCTGAAGGGCACCTGCATTCCGGCATTCTCCTCAACCTCACGAGGAATCAGGTCTCCAGGTGGCTCTCCATTGAATCCTGCCCCTGCCAGTCATGGGCACAGGTAGGTCCCATGACTGTGGTAGCTCTAGGCCACCTTCCTCCTATCATCAAGAACTCTGCCAAGTCCTGCTCACACCTTTGTAATTAGTCTTTATTACTATTATTATTATTATTAGTTCTTCAGGTATGTAATTTTATGCTCAACTTTTTCCTTCCTGGGCTATGAGAGATACAGATATCACACATGGGTATCCTTATAATGTTATGAATGTCCCTCTGTGGGTGTGCTGTGTTTAAAAACAAATGGCTTATTATGGTCCTCCATATAAGATCCTGATTCCTGATTACTTACACCTTATTTCTCTGGTCTGCATTGCTATGGGGGAGGGCAGAGGCCGTTCGAGACAGGGTGTTTCTGTGTAGCCCTGGCTGTCCTGGAACTCACTATATAGACCAGGCTGGCCTCAGACTCAAAGGTCCACCTGCCTCTGCCTACTGAGTGATGGGATTAAAGGCATGTGCCACCACTGCCCAGCAAGATCCCTCTCCCCCCATTTTTGGATATCACACTCAATGCCAGGGAAATCAGTGTATTATAAGCTTTTTTTTTTTTTTTTGGTTTTT